GAGGCTGCAGCTGGAGGGCTGGGCATCACCCGATGCGCCTCTGTTCCCGTAAGGGCTTCCTTTCAAGGAGAGAAAAATCTTATCTTGTTACCAAGGGTGCAACTGTTATTTTTCACACCTCAAATGTGGAGTAATTTATAATCTAAAGTGCCCATGTTCATGTCTATGAACTTGCCCATGGACCCACGTTTCCCGGAAAGCCAGTTGGGACAGAAACTTAAAATATTTTGTTTCTGAAAGGCAAAGCCGTTTTCTCCAGTAGAACATACCCAAACCAAATAGGACTTTGGTTTCTAGCAAACTACTTCTGGAAACACTTTTTCCCAGAAAATCCAAGAGCAACGAATTCGTCTAAAGACGGCACCAGCGGCCAGCCCACAACACAGACACTGCAAACACCTTCTGTTCTACTCGTCACCTGTAAAATGCGTCCATCAGAAATCCTGGACTAATGGAGTACCCCAATTCACTTACAGGACAGGTAAGAAAACAAGATTCTGTTGTCTACAAGCCACAAAGCACACGTCAGTTCTACAAACACTTTTACGAACTGTACACCCCACATCTGCCTCGTCACGGAGGAGCCACATTCCTCTTCCCAGAGACGACAGAACTACGTTATTTCTCAATCCAAGCATCCAGCTCCAAAAGCACACAGTCCCCGCGCACTCACGACACATACACACCAACCCGACGCCTGTGTGTGGACCTCGCGGTGCTTTCAGCAGGTGGAAGCCAATGGCTCACCTCTCGTGTCCGAGGTCTCATGCTCAGACAAGGCGCTGGTCCACAGAGGGCGCGGGCCCCAGCCCCAGGGATGACTCTCCGAGAACCAGGATCCTGCTCCCACCCTTACCGAGGAGCACTGGCTACTGGCACCTGAAGATCACACGTCCCTTTTCTGCACAACACCTCTTTAACGTGACCATGTTAGCAATAGTCAACCTTCTCCTTACAAAGCAGCCATGTTGTCAGAGCTGAGGACCTGATGCGAACACCATCACGCAAACGTCTGGAACGCCTGGCAAGGCTCCCACGGCCCCGCTCTGGCCAGCGCAGGGCAGGGCTGCAGCAGGTCCTCCCACACGTCCCCCGACAGCTCGGGCAGCCCTGGACGCGTCGGGCTCCGCGTGGCCTCAGCCCCTCTCCTGGCCGTGCAGCCTCGCCGGGCCGCAGCAGCCCCTTACCTCAGAACAAAGCCACTCCGCGAGGTCGGGCAGGGCCGGAGGGACGTGGCTCTCAGACAGATGGTCACCCTCCCCGTTTAGAGGAGAGGAAAGTGCTAAAGGAGAAAAATTAGAGTGGGGTTTTGTTCTAAACCAAAGGAGGCTGCAGATCCTATTGGCCTCAGGTTGGAAACCTCGTGACATGGGACCAGGCACATGTGACCTACTTTTCGCCCAGCTCCCCTCGTTCCATTGGAGGGGTGCGCCTGGCGGATGCTGTCACTTCAATGACTCCTTCCCCCAACAGGGGCCACCGCACAGATCGGCGTGCCTGCGGGACATCGGCCGCAGCAGCTAAGCCCTGGGAAAAGGGGGGGCCGCACTTCAGGGCCGTTAGTGGAACCGCAGCTCTGCAGACCCGAGTGGCTGCGGCCGCAGACGGGCGCCCGGAGCTAGTCCTCACCAGGATGAGGCGCCCGAAAGGGCACCCGGTGCAAACTGTCCTTTCCCCGCTTTCTCCTGGTTGTGGCCGAGAGCATGCAGGCGCAGCCTGAGAGCCAGCGCGCGCACCGGCTGGGCACTGCTGTGTGCGTGCACGCCGAGAGCAAGCCTGGCGGCGGGCGCTGGTCTGGGTGGAGAGACGGACGGGCCCCCGGGCCTGCGAGGGGACGTGGGGAACGCAGCTGCCCCCTCAGAACGGGCACCTGCCGCCGAGCACTAGAAGGCCACCCTTTGCCCGGGCCATCGCCCCCTCCCTCGCCACCTCACACGAGATCAGGTGCAGGCAAAGGAAGAAGAGCACCTGGCAGGCAGTGGCGGCACTCGGGTGCCGAGCGGGCTCGCTGGCGGTGGGTCGAGCACGCGCCGGGCAGGATGGCGTCGGTGCCCGCTGGGAGGGCCAGAGAGCACGGCCCTTCCTGATGCCGACACAGGTGCCTGGAGGAGGGGGAGGCCGCAGGTCCACTGCCCACGACAGCCTGACGGCTCGTTACAGGGAAAGGGGGAAACACAAGTGTGCAAACCCTGCGACATCACCTCCCAGAAAGACCAGCAGTCGCAGTGGCATGTTCTGAGGGCGACCTGTTCACACTCCTTCCCAGTAGGTGCGTGTCTGTATTTTTTAACAAAAACAGGACCAAGCCACCCACGTTTGTCCTGTTTTTCTCACTTGACACTGTACGTGAAGTGTTTTTCTACGTCACTATATTAAGTCTACACGGTAGTGATCAAATCCCCCGTATAATCTATTTTACGCATAAAATGTTATGCATGTAACTCTATGCATTTGCAGGCATGAGAACACAGCTGGCTGCAATCACTGAGCCCCGGGTTCTGAACGGTCGCATCAAACAAGCCTTCGCCGATAATCTCTGGGAGGACCTCTTTCTGTCCCTGTCTTACTGCCTTGGACTATTCTTTGTGGATATCACTCTGGGTCAGGGGACACACATGCCTGAAGCTCTGGCCCGTGGTGACAAACCAGCCCCTGTGCTACCCGAGCGCTGAGTCCTGGGGACGCCAGTGTCAGGAGCCCAGCAGGGAGGAGGATGCTACCAGCCCCGCCGTGCACCCTGCGCTGCCAGCCCAGCCAGTGCTCGCGGCAGCTCTTTCCCGGGCAGAGAGGGAAGCACCGTCGCTCCTGGCGCATTCACAGTCTTGAAGTAGCGGCCACCTAGGGCCCGGCTCTTGGCCACCGAGGGCGCTGGGGAGAACTGGGCCCTGGCCTTGGGTCTGGTGAGGGGAGCTGACAGCAGGGTGGGGGCTGACCTTGAAGACGTGACGAGGAAGGAAGAGTGAGCAGAGGGGCTTGAAGGAACAGAGTCACGGGCAGAGAAGGAGCCGGGGGCCTGGGGGCATAAAGGAGGGGTGGCTGGAGGTCGAGGGGACCTGGGGCGCCGAGCTGACAAGCCAACACAGGGCAGAGAGCTGCTGAGGGGGAGGGACAAGGCCAAGGCAGAAGGAAGCGTGACTGCCCGCTATTTAGGGTGCGGGGCACAGGGACCCACGGCTGTGAGCACCACCCCTCCTGGCATGGGGGGCTGGCCAGCACTGGGGCTCAGTGGCTCTGTCCTCATGGGAACAGTTGGTCAGCTGAGAGGATGGCTGTGGGTCTTTTGTCTCTCTGGATGCCACCCCGACCCCTGCAGCCGTGTCCTGCGCCTGACACGAGGCCAGATGCTTGGACCTTGGAGCACGCAGGCACCTGCAGATGTGGCCGGGCAGAGGGCTGGGTGGCTGGGCGGGGGGCCTAGTAAGGGGCCGCTGGGCTCCTGCCTTTGGAGCGCTGCAGCCTGGCCCAGGGGAGTGGGGGCCTGTCCTCCACACGGCCCCGGAGAATCCCGGGCAGGCAGCCCTGCTTTACATAACTGGCCTCGCCCTTGACCGCAGCCTGGGATGTGCCAGCTGTGTGGAAGGAGCCATTCCATCCGGCTGCTGTCCTGACCCAGAGAGGACGTCGAATGACCTGTCACAGCCATTCACGCAAGCAGGCACCTGGAGGTTGAATTGGTTTTCGCCTCCTTCCACACAAAGCAAAGGTGAAGACAGCGCAGCAGCAGGCACCCGGAACTGGGTCAGGCTCCACGGGCTGAACGTGCTGAGCTGCGTTGAGGAAACCAAGCCAGCCAGACAGACCAGGCAGTGGGAGAGAAGCTGGCATGAAGAGGAAGGAAGAAATGTTTCAGAACGTTCTGTGACGTTTAAAGATGCACCTGTTTCTCCGACGACCACCTGGGAGACAGGTTAACTCAGAACCTGGATGATATGTCTGTCAGGCATCTGGGTGGTAAATCCTATAGCTAAAATCAGGTTCTCAGTGGCCACCTTTGTGCCCTAGACGGACAAAGCACCTCAAATGTACTCTAAGGGCTTTGGCAATGGCCTTGTAACACGGACGCGCGGATGAATAAACCAGACCTGGGCTGGAGACCGCCAGGCACGAGGGCTGTGGGAGGAACCTCGGGGCCTCAAAGTACAGGTGAGAAACTGAGGCCAGAGGGCATCAGCGCTGCAGCCTCGGACAGAACTTGGACCTCAGGGTGCTGGGGTGCTCAGCGGCACAGAACACACCCTCCTGCACACACGTGCACACACCCTCCTGCACACATGCACACCCTCCCGCACACACGCGTGCACACCCTCCTGCACACACGCACCCTCCTGCACACACACGCGCACCCTCCTGCACACACATGCGCGCACCCTCCTGCACATATGCACACACCCTCCTGCACACACGTGCGCACACCCTCCTGCACACATGCACACAGGCTCCTGCACCCACACCCATGTGGCAGGCCAGCCAGCAGGGCCAGGCCAGCCAGCAGAGTTAGCTCGGGGCCCTGCGCGGGGCTGGTCCTCACTTACAGAACGACAGGCCCAGCTCTTCAGACCCCACACCCGGCTTCTTTACAAAATGGTGGGATGAGGCCCTCGGGGGCTAACGCTGGGGAACACTTAGGGGGACACAATTCTAAGGCATCCATGTTCCTCAAAGTTCAAGGGAAAAAGCCACGGAGAAACATTTCTGCCCCAGTTTGGACCTGCTTCTTCAAACTCTAACTCGACTACAGGTGACTTTCAAGAGCCGCCTGGGAACGACGCTCCCGCAGCACCAAGGCCTCGTCTCGGCTTCCTTTTCTTGCTACGGTCTCCCTCTCGAGGGTCTGTCTTCTCTCCCCAGCGCCGCTCCCAGCTGACAGCACATCATGGAGCAGAGGGTAACACTCGGTGTCGTGCCGCTTGGAACAGCTTCCACTTTCAAGGGCGAGCTTGCCTCCGTCACACACATTCTTGGAAAACACACATGCAAACAAGACAGGTCACAGGACTCACCTTCCCCCATAAGCAGGCTCTCCGAGTCAGAGCAGGTCCCTGGACGGCATGTGTTCGGGTGTGTCGTAAGTCAGAGCATCCCAACCGGAGCTGGTGGCTTGGAGGAGCCCGCTCACCTAAGACACAAAACACGGGGGACGTGAGCTTCCAGGCTGCGACCTCACCTGGCGGGGGTGAGCTTCGACAGAACTGCCGCCCCGCATGCAGAGCAGCCGTGCTCCTTACACACGCGGGTGCGGGGTGCAGGGGGTGGGGCCGGAGGCCAGACGGAGCTTCTCCCCGGATGCTGCCCTGCGCCTGCCCGAGGAGGCCGCCCTGCAAACACGGAGGCGCCGCCCATTTCAAAGATGAGAAGTCCAAGAGAAGTTTTTTGTTAAAGCTGTAAACACTTTTGAGAATCTAAGAGAAACAGTCAACTTTCTACTTACAATATTTGGTAGTTCATCTATGTACATACACTGATTTACAAACAACATTTATGAAATCACACATTAACTTAAACACACTGCCGGCTTCCCTCCTTCACAGCTAGTCCAACCGTGTCATTCAGACCCTTCCATTTCACGTACGATCTGTCCCCGTCATCTCTTCCCAGAATGCGCCATTTTCACCTCGGTCCAAGCTTCCTGACGTTTCACTTTCTAAACTCACATTTATTGCCCAAACAGGAAATTTAATCCCCAGGGACAAGAATTTATTTCCATAACGTTCCCCTCTTTGCTGCGTTTTAAGTCTGCTCTTCGGTGCATGCTTACGCCCTCTGCACCTCATGGTTGTGGACGTCTTTCCAGGCTTCTTTACAAAGCATCTGACATTTGGAACCGCGAGGCTGTAGCACCAAAAATAATTAGAAGCCCGTGCTAAATGTCTCTGTCCTCCTCCGTGTCAGCCAGGTAACCACTTTAGGCAATAAATAACATCCCTGACTGAGTCAATTTCAAACTGACATATCTTGCCCATGTAGTGTGTGAGGCTCAAAATGATATAAATGAGAAAATACAACACGAAAGGAAACGCCATGAGGGACGGCGCTGAGTACAAGCCTCCCCCTCACGGGGGCACGCGGTGTCTCAGCTGGGAAGGCACAGCTGGGAAGGACCAGGCTCAGCGTGTTACGGCGCATCAGAGGAACAGAGAGGGGGCGCTCATCAGAAAGCCATGGGAGAGATTTCGGCAAGGGTGCCAAGACAAGCCAACGAGAAAAGAACAGTCATTGCAACGTGTGGTGCTGGGGAAACTGATATCCACACACCGGAGAACGAACGTAAGCCTCAGTTTACACCACATACAAAACTTAACTTTGAACAGATCAAAGACCTACACCCAAGAGCTAAAACTAAATACTGAAAAAAATCTTCATCACGTTGGACTTGGCAACGGTTTCATGGAAATGAGTCCAAAAAGCACAGGCAACGACAGAAACACAGACAAACTGGACTTATGAAAGTGAGGAATTTTTGTGCAGCGAAAGACACAAACAAGAAAGCCACGTACAATGCACGTAACGGAGGAAAGTGCCTGCAAACCAAGTACCTGAGAAGGGACTAGTGTCAGACCACCGCACGCAGAACTTCTGCAACTCAGCAGCTCAAGAACGACTGAAACGCATGCGAAGGACTCGAGCACGTCCTTCTCTCAGGCAAGCGCAGAAACGCCCGACGCACAGGAGAGCAGCTCAGCGCCAGCGGCGTCAGGGAGCGCGGGGCGGGAGGAGGGGCTCGGGCAGAGCGCGTGCAGGGCGCACGAGGTCCTGGGTCAACCCCCAGTGCCCCCATTAAAAAAAATGCAATAAATAAAAAGAAAACCTGGTTACCTCCCCCTCAAAGGAAAAACAAAACAAAGGTAAAATACTGTGCGTTAAAAAGAAAAAAAATAGAGGGAAAAAAAGAGAAATGAAATCAAAACCACACTGAGACCCCACGTCACACCCACGCAGGATGGCGACAGGAGTGACAACACTACGACAGTAACAGCAAGGAGCAACAGACAACAACGAACGCCAGCAAGGACACGGAGAACTGGACTCTTCAGACGCTGCTGGGGGGACGGGAAGAGGGACAGCCACTGACGGCCTGCAGCTGCTCCCAAGTTAACCCAGGGCTGCCCCGTGGCCCAGCCCCCGCGCAGGCCCAGGCCAGGAGAACTGAAGACGCCTGTCCGCCCCGGCACTCAACGGGGAGCTCCCAGCAGCACCGCCCACGGCGGCCAGAAAGTGGCACAACCCAGCGTCCGCCTCCCGAGGACGAATGGACGAACCTCGTGTGGGGGACCCTTATATCGGGATGTTACTCACCACCAAAGGGAGGAGGCGCTGACGCGGCTGCGACACGGATGGACCTGGAAAAAGCCCGACACAGAAGGTCACAGACGTGTGATCCCACGGGTACTAAATGTGCAGAACAGGCAAACCTGCCGGGACAGAAAGTGGACCAGTGTCCCCAGGGCTAAGGAGAGAGGGAACGAAGTGACTGATCACGGGCGTGGGTCCTTCAGGGGTGACGAAAGTGTTCTGTAATTAGCTCGTGCTGGTGGTTGCACACCTTGTTTGCTGTGTAGCTAAAAACTACGAAAATGCGCACTTTTAAAGTGTGAAATTTATGCTATACTCAATTGAAAAAAAGGTAATGGCGGGGGATAAATTGGGAGTTGGGATCAAAAGACACACACCGCTATACACGAAACAGCTGAACAAGGTCCTGCTGTGCAGCACACGGAACTGTGTTCAGCATCTTGTAATAACCTAAATGGAAAAGAGTCTGAAAAAGAATATATCTGTGTGCACACATACAATTGAATCAGCTTGCTGTACACTCGAACCCAACACAACATTGTAAATCAACTATACTTCAATTAAAACAAAACAAAGGTGGTGAATACTCAAAAGTTTGGAAAAGGAACGGAAGAAATCTCTATTAAGCATCACAGAATTAGCGCACGTTTACTCCACCCTTACAGAAACGGCACCAAAGTGACACACAACGTAAAACGGCACAAACCCACAAGCACTGAGCAGAGAGGACAACCAACAAGCGTTGTCAACACGAGACGAGGGCCTGGGACGTGGATGAACACGCAGCGAGCAAGCGGCAGAGACACAGAAGCTGAAGCCTCTGCCAGGCGGAGCCACCGGGGAGGGGCGGGGGGAGGCAGAGCTGGAAGGAGCAGAGCCTGGGGCCCAGGTGGCTGCGCGGGTGGGGGTGAAAACAGGAGCTCACACTGTCTGTGAGGGAGCGTTAGGGCCCCAGTGCCCGGCACCATGGCCAACCGGAGGCTCCGTCTCAGAAGAGGGGACACTTAGGACCTGAAACGCCAGCATTAACACAGGAGCCCTGCGTGGAGGGAAACAGCAGGAGCCTGAGGCCTCGCGCCCCTTCTCCCCAGAGGCTCTCCCCGAAGACAGGGCCACCTCTCTTGTAAGTCACATAAACTAGAAACAGTGCAGACTGCAGTTTCTGATGACAACGCAAGAAACCAGAAATTAGCTAACCGGAGAACATTCTATTTGAAATGTACATCATTTCAGAAACACGTGAAGGAAATCAGTTAACTACGTACATAGCCCTGTGTCACTAAATTTGGTAGGACACACCAGGGGCCCAGAAGCCCGGCAGGGGGTGTGCCACACAGACTCAGTGCAAGGAGCCACTTCTCCCAACGTCACCGACAGCCCCGCGGGGTGAGACGGGAGTGAGGGGCCGTCTCGGGAGGAAAGGCTCTGCGTTCTCTTTTCAAAACTCCTCCCATGTTAGGAAGCGAGGCCGCAGAGGAGACAGCATGTGGCCCACAATCCCCTTCCCCGCTCTCGCTCTCCGGCCTCCGCGGCAGCACGACCCGCTTAGTCACAGCAGGAGCAGTGGTTCTCGGCGCCCTGCTGAACAGGCCGCCACCACGAATCCGTTTCAAAGGACGGCGCCCAAGGCAGGAGCATCCCCTCTGCCCGGTCCCAGTCCTGGTCTGGACCAAAGCAGCCCAGCGCGCTCTGAGCCCCGCACACGTGCCCCGCATGCGCTTAGATGGGCGGACACGCGCAGGTGCGCGAGAGCGGAGCGGCTCCCAGCGAGGCCCGGGGCCTGCAGGCCGGGCTGCACCCGGAGGCTGGAGACTCGTGGCAGCGGTAGTGGCAGCAGTGGGCTGTCCCCGCTCCGCTGGCGGGGTGGGGGGTGCCTGCAGGCCACTTTAAGAAGGAAGTCTGCGGAAGGCAGGGCTGTGAGGGGGTTTGGATAAATCATGACGTTTTACCGCCAGCAGTTAGTCTGGCTGGGGGCGCGGAGTCCAGGCTGAACGTGAGAAGCCAGGAGAGAGTTCAGGAGATGCTGCGATAATCCGGGGAAGGGAGGGTTTGTGCACAGTCAAGGGGGGCCTCGGCGCCTGCAGAGCCCGCCATGGGTTAATCTGAGGAGCGAGGCCCGGGCCAGACCAACAGCGCCCATCTGGCGGGGTCATCCCACCTCCTGTCACAGTTCACACCAGGACAGTGAAAGCAGAGGGAGATGACCCGTGTGTGTGTGCGTGCGTGTGTGCACAAACCCACACCTGACATTCTCCTAAGGCTCTCAGAGAACGAAACCCAAATTGACAATGTTCTAACTCGTAATGCAAATTTCCACAAATTTTGAAGACATGGAATCAACAGACCATGCTTTTCCACCCACGAGGCAATTAAATTAGAAATCAGCAGCGAAAGATGACTTTATAATTCTCCTGGACATAACGCTTTTTAAATGCCTCTAAATAAGAAATGGAGGGGAAGAACATAATGAACTCAGGAAATCACTGGACCTCAACACCACCAAAGGTACCACATGGCAAAACGCGCAGCCCTCAGCTGCGGGGGAGCTCGCGGGAGAACTCACAGCTTTTAAACGCCTAGAGCAGGAGCAAAGAAGGCCAGAACATTAGCGAATAGAAAATCCGATTTGAGAAGGTAGGAAAACGACAGGAAGCACCCACAGCAGACGGGAAGGTGGTATCGTTAATAAGGAGCAGCTCAGAAGTTATGACAGAAGCCAGCTGTGAAGAGAAACAAGTACAAAATCTGGTTCTTCAAAAAGGGCCCCAAAATACACACCCTCTGATGACACTGACCAAGAACAGTCAGGACGGGACAGGCGGCTCG